ACACACTGGTTCTGAAGGTTGAGCATTATGAATAAGCTGATAATGAGAGGAAATGAAATGACCATGTAGTTACCTCTTCAGGTGTCAGCGACTTACAAATGCCCAGTGTTCACATCTGCTGCTGCTCATTCATGTTTTCCCTTTTTTCATCTCTTCCACGCTACCGTGATAAGGAACATTCTGGAAGAACATGTGGAGCTTCTAGAAAATCTGAAGGCACAGAAGTAGACCAAAAAAAAAAAATCAGGTTATAAAAATCAGTACCCGCTTATAGCATGCCATAATGTCAAATTTAAAAACAAGGGTGGCCTTTTTTTTATAACCTTTGCCCCAAATTGTCCTGTCACACACTGTCTGAATCGTTTCATCTCACTTTGTTAGACTCTATAAAACACCACAGAAGACATGATTTGGGGCTAGCAAGCATCTCCCTTTTAAAGCTACAGCTTCTCCTGGCAGAGTTAATGATCTTTGAGTCATTCATCCCTAAGTTTGAATTATAATAGCTTAACCAGCTACTGTTCTATCACTTAGTGGAAGAAATTTCCCTGGGAAGATACAAACACACCATAGGGCAGGAGTTCCAAAAGGAAAGAGGGAAGATGCCAAATTTTTTCAGAATTTTCCCCAAGGCAGGCCTTTCTTTCATCCAAAGAAAAAAGAAAAAAGTTTTTCCCTGTCATGATCTTCCTTCTATTTTGAGCAGCAAACATATTTTAAAAGAACTGAGGGAGTGTCCGGTTAGCTCAGGTGGTTAGAGTGCAGGCTCATAACACCAAGGTTGCCAGTTCCATCCCCACATGGGCCACTGAGCTGCGCCCTCCACAACTAGATTGAAACAACTACTTGACCTGGAGCTGAGGGGTCCTGGAAAAACACACTGTTCCCCAATAAAAAGTTAAAAAAAAAAATGAGAAAGGATCGCATGAGGAGGTCATTGTAGTGTTAGAACTTTTCTATATCTTGACTGTGGTCGTGGTTACATGTGTAGATACATGTGGTAAAATAGGCTAAAATTAACACACACACACACACACACACACACACACACACACACGAGTGCATGTAAAACTGGTGAAATGTGAATAAAGTGGTTCGATGGCATCAGCCTCAGTTCTCTGATTGTGATATTCTACTATAGTTATGCAAGATGTTACCCCTGAGCTGAGTGATGGATATATCAGAGTTTCTGTGTTATTTCTCACAATTGTATGGGACTCTACACTTATCTTAAAATAAAAGGTTTTTTTTTAAAAAAAAAAAACGAACTGGGACAGTATTTTTTTATAACAGCTGGCTTGGCAGAGGCGTGGGGAGATGATTTCATCTAATTTGGAAAAGTTAGGTCAGGAGTGAATTCAGCAGAGTCACTCCTTTAAGTTTCAGTTGTGAAAGCAAATATAAAGTCCGTGATTGCTGGAATTCTTTTCTGTTTTAATGTTGTGTAAAATAAAGAAACTATAAGAGAGTAATTTAAGTGGAGTAAGGAATGGGAAATAGAGTAACTCAAGAAAAGGGTGTCAACATCAAACAGTTCCTTTTCTTCTGTTCGAAGGCCCCCCATAAGCGGAAATTGTAAACATGCAAAGGAAAGAAAGCAATTGGACGTTTGATATTGTAAGACTTAAGAATGCCTTTGTTTGTGTTCCCCCACCCTAACAGTGCCAAAGCTGTGTGTGTGTGTGTGTGTGTGTGTGTGTGTGTGTGTGTGTGTGTGTCCCACTCACTTTGTTGACAGGTGACAATCTTGACTTAAATCCAATGCTCTCTTGAAGGCTGTTGTAGCAAAAGAAATTAATGATCCTTAAAATTTGATTTTACAGCATACAGTTCCTCAAAGGATGTGCAGCACATTGCCAGCATTATTCTTTTGCGCATTCTCGTTTTTATGCTCAGTATTCTATTAATTTTGCTTTTGGGTGACCAGTAGAAATTATCTCACTTTAAGACCTTGGAATTTATTTGAAAATGTCTTTTCAAGTAAATAAATTTCATTCTAGTAAGAAGATAAAGTCTATTGCCTTTA